TGTGTTACAGGTTGTGTTCTGTGTTGTGTTAAATGTTGTGTTTCATGGTGTGTTACAGGTTGTGTTCTGTGTTGTTACATGTTGTGTAACAGGTTGTGTTACGTTACATGTGTAATGTTTTGTGTTACAGGTTGTGTTACATGTTGCGTTACAGGTTTTGTTTCAGGATACGTATTGCATTGTGAGTTGGTCAGTTGTGAGCCTCACCTGCAGCGATGAGCATGGCACAGAAAGTTGGTGAGCCCAGACTGGAAGCCAGGTGTAGTGGTGTGTTTCCTCCAAAGGTGCAGGCATTAACGTCGGCCTTTAGCTGCAGACACACACACACCTGATTAGCAGTGAGCACAGGTGGTAACGGTGCTGCCCACTTCCTGCTTTGAGTCTTTGTTACCTCAGTGATGAGCGTGCAGGCCACCTTGAACAGGTTTTCCTTGACAGCCAGGTGAAGTGCTGTGTGTCCACTCTTTTGCTCTGGTGCGTTTATTTTGGCTCCGCCCTCCACAAGCAGGCGGAGGCAGCGCTCGCCGTCCCTCCTTACAGCCAGGTGGAGCGGCTGAAGACCTGAGGGACACAAGCAAGTTTTGTTACCTCAAACTTTTACTGAGAGGAGCAGCACAGGTAACCTGGCTCTGCTTCTTACCGTGGTAGTCTGGTGTGTTGACCAGATGGGCGTGGCATTCTCCCAGGTGGGTCAGCAGGAGGCGGAGCATCTCAGTGTCTCCGCTCAATGTTGCTAAGTGGACGGGGCTGCGGCCATCTTTGTCCACCAGGCTGGGGTCGGCCCCCGCCCTTAACAACAGCTCGGCCACTTTCGGCTGCCGCGTGATCACAGCCAGGTGAAGGGGTGTCTGTGGGGGTGGAGTCAGCGGGCAGGTGAGAGGCAGCAGGTGTTCAGATTACATGTCACAAATGTACCTGCTGCAGGTGGTTGGATGTCTGCAGCCGTGGTCAGAGGGTTCCATCCACTCGTCATGAACATGAAGGTCAGATTCATTTAAGTATTTTAGATTTATTTTCCAGCATGGAATGATTCGACTAAAAACACGAGACTTATCTCAAGATGAGATCTCAGTTAAAAAGGAACAAAATGACCTCTGTCAGCGATACTCATTAAACCTGTGTGACCTTTGACCTCAGGGATCAAACTCATTCACACAGGGGGTCCAAATTAGAAACTTGATCAGGGATCGGTTATTGTTTTCAATATTTTCATGATAAAAACTGTCGTGTTTTTCAAATATTTTTCTAAACATTCATGCAAAAATATGAAATGAACAAAGGCTTATCCTTCATAAAGTTTACAGATTTTTTTTTAATAAAATACTTTTGTTCATTTCTTGTCTTATTGTAATCACATTATTTAATGATCTCTAAAAACATTTATTTTAGAAAAACATTTCTAAAAACATTTTAAACAAAAAGTTCACTTGAAGTGCTTTAGTTTGACGGTCTCACTAACCCGAGGTGTCCACCACCAGGTTTGAGGATGGCTGCCGCAAGAATCACCAACAATGTTGTGGCCACAGCTCAAGGCAGCTGCCTCGATAATGGAGGCGAGGAACATGGTCCACTCGGACTCAATGTCCCTTGCCTTAACTGGGATGTGTTCAAAGATCTCTTGGAGATGTGAGGCTAGAATCTTTCTGCTAGGTGTTCCCAGCAGATCCTCACTACATGTTTGGGTCTACCTGGTCTGTCCAGCATCTTCCCCTGCCATCTGATCCAACTCACCATCAGGTGGTGATCAGTTGACAACTCAGCGTGTGTCAGAGTGTCCAAAACAAACAACCGCAAATTAAATGACACAACTATGAAGTCAATCATAGATCTACGACCTAGGGCGTCCTGGTGCCAAGTGCACTTATGGGCACCCTTATGTTCGAGCATGGTGGTTTTGATGGACAAACTATGTATAGCACAGAAGTCCAACAACAGAATATTGCTTGAGTTCAGATCAGAGAGGTCATTCCTCTTGATCACACCAGTCCAGATTACCCACATTGCCATTGAAGTCCCCCAACAGAATAAAGGAGTCCCCAGCTGGAGCACCTTCCAGCATCCTCGCTAAGGACTCCAAGAAAGCCAGATACTCCAAACTGCTGTTTTGTGTGTAGGCACAAACAACTGTCAGAGCCCATCCCTCCACCTGAAGGTGCAGGGAATCTACCTCTCATCTACTGAGGAAAACTCCAACAAACAGGCACCAAGTCGATGGACTAAGAGTAGACCTACACCAGTTTGGTGCCTCTCACTGTTGGCAGCTCCAGAGTGGATGAAGGTCCAGCCCCTCTCAAGGAGATTGGTTCAGGAACCCATGCTGGGCATTGAGGTGAGCCCAAATATATCTAGTTGGTACGTCTCAACCTCACGCACAAGCTCAGGCTCCTTCCCCACCAGAGAGGTGATATTCTATGTCCCAAGAGCCAGCTTTGGTAAGCCAGGGTCAGAGCCCCCAGGCTACCGCCCACAGCACAGTGCAACTTACTTGTATGGTCTCTCCAACAGGTGGTGAGCCCATATGAAGGCAAACTCAAGTTACTCATTCAGGCTGAGCCTGACTGGCCCCATGGTTCGAGACCCAGTCACCAGGCCTGGCTCCAGGGTGCCCAGTCTAGGAACAATGAGCTACATTCTGTCTTCTTCATACAAGTGTTCTGAATCGCTCTGGGTCTGGCCTGTCACCTAGGACCAATCCGTCTTGAGAGACCCTACCAGGGACAATTGTCCCCCAAGCATAGTTCCTAGGATCATTCAGGCACACAAACATCTCCACCATGATAAGGTGGTGATTTACAGAGGGTTTTCTTTATCATTATTTTCATCACATTAGAGACGTCATTTCTAACCCAAACTCTAAGCCCGGTCCCACCCGATCCAAATTTGGGGCGGACTGGGCCATGATAATATGCTGGATGGGTGGGCCGGGTCGGTGTCGGGATTTTAGTTAGGTCAGGATCAGCTATGATCCAATTATATGATAACATGGCCTGCCATACCATCACCAGCCGCACACTGCCTTTTCACCGCGAGCTGACAGGCCTTGAAAGAGGTAAATAGTTCAGTTAAGCTTCAGATGGGATTCTAAAAAATGTGAAGTCTGGTCCTCTGGAACCTGTCTAGAGGACCAGACGTCACTTTTTTAGATGTTTCTACCTGGATTATTGTGCATGCATCAGGATATTCAGATAGGACTATACTGCCTGTGATCCATCGCCCAAATGGATGTTCATTCAGCCGCTGCACTCAGTGGAAGTGCGCGGCCGATGACCCAAACAGGTGAGGTCACAAAGCAGACATATCAGAGCAGGGTCTGTGTCTGAATAATGCAGAATGCAGGCAGAAGCAGGGATTAAATGCTCTTTTACGGCCATGAAAGGACAAACACCCCCTCAGCTCCAAATCTTCTGCCCCATGCAGCCGCGTGTCTCCGACCGTTAGTAACTAATTAAAAATTGTGTTTTTTTTTCTGGATTCTGACCTATAATTACTGTTAATTCGTTGGGTCGGGTGGGGTTCGGAAATTATGACTGCAGGCTGGGGCCGGGTTGGATCAGATTTTTTGGACCCAAATGCAACTCTACACAGGTAGACACAGGTAATGGTTGCTCACACTAATGACCACAGAGAGATTTAAACAATTGATGCTGACAGAGGGAAGGGAGGAGGGGCTAAGTGAAGACTAACTGTCAGATGTTTTTCACCTCAAAGTTTGACTCAATTCCTCTCAACTCAAATGGATTAACGTGAGGTTCTAGTTTTATTTTTCTCTCTCCAAGGACCACAATAATGCATTAGCATTGGTGTCTGCCACAGCTGCAATGAACTGGTCACATGCAAATGCTTATATGTATGTGACCAGTTATCAGACTTTTTTAGATTTATCACATGCTGTGGCCTTCACTGGGGGGACGGGTGATCCTGTTGAGGTGGCTAGATGCCCCCCTCAGTATGGTATGGTAGAGGAAACACTGAACAGAATTTGTGCTGGTTAGGAGTAGGGATGCACCGATCCACTTTTTTTAACTTCCGATCCGATCCCGATACCTAAGTCTGAATATCGGCCGATACCGATCCAGTTCCAATTTCACGATCATCATTGATTTTACATGAGGCTGTAATAATCTCCTCTCAAGTACAATTTGTACAAATATTTAATGCAATGTCCAAAAAGGCAACTTGAGGTAAGTTTTATTAATGAGGATAAGTTTTAAAGTCAGAATTAAATTCTGCTAACACAAAACATGTTTATTTTTATTCCTAGCTTTAAAGTGGATATTAAAGTGATTAATTTAAGTGATTGTTTAGTTATTTTATTTTATTTTTTAATAAGGGGCAGATATAAGAATTTTTTTCTTCTTTCTGCACTCTTTTCATTCAATGTTTTCTTTTTGATGATTCTTTTTTTTATTTAGTTTCTTTTAAATGAATGAATAAATTAATTAAAATAAAATGGTAAATGGCTTCAAACATCTGCTAAATTTGTGGCATAAACAAACAGACATGTTCCTGGTTTTAGTATTTTACATCACTTTATAATGTAGCTGTTTTTGTTTCGTTTTTTTTTTTTTATATATATATAATTTTCAAATAATATTTTTTTTTATGATTGTCTACTTTTGTACTGATAAATATCTCCTGGAGGGTAAACTATATCTTGGCTGCAAGTATCAAGCTGCAAAATCCTTCGTTTTCTACAACTGATAGTGGCTGGTCATTAATTATGATGAAGTTTAGCAACTTCTCTGTAAATATTTGAGCTCTGGGGCTTCATCGATGTCTTCTTCTTGTTCAATCCGAAGCAAGCAGCCTTATTTGGGTCAGCCGCGCTCAATCTGTCCCTCCTCAGAGACGGGCAGACTGGACGCGGCTGGCCGGGGTCGAGTTGCCTGTTTCGAGTTGAGCAAAGAGCAGCGCCCCGCTGAAGCCATGGAGCTCGAATGTCCAACATAAAACTAACTTTACCACGGTTTAATGTGGCGCTATGGCTCTGCAGACATTGCACGATGCTGTCTTGCTTTGTGGTGTTTAGTGTAAAATACTTCCACACAACGAACGTGCTTAGATGAAAAGTTTGTTAGCTGTTAGCAACAGTGATGCTAACTCAGTCCTCACGTTGTAGCTGTTTGCAAACTATGAACTGGATTTCCTGAATGTGAGGCGGGTCTTATTACTCTGGGTTCATGAGAAACACCACCGTTCAGGAAATCCATTCCGTAGTTTGAAGCCAACATGCATCATGGAAAGGAAATCTCTGCAGGTTGGATCGGAAAAATCCGATACGTAAATTATGCTGGTATCAGAGGCCAATACTGATACTGGATCGGATCGGCCCCATCCCTACTTAGGAGGTACTATGCTGAAAATTTTTTCACAGGAAACCCATTACTGAAAAAACATAATGATTTGAGCCTGTGCAAGGCAGAGAAAATCCAGCATCAATCCAATCTTGTTTTTAAACTCAATGAAGCTGTTTGTTGTAGAATCAAACCAGCCTGGAGGCAGATCATTAAAAATCATTAAATACTGAGATTAACCGGACTTCTGTTCCTACAAAGAGGATAGAACCCTTTATCTGCACACGTATCAGCTTCAACTGGTTGTTTACCTGTTGTAGGTGGTTGGCCGTGTTGAGGACTCGGTGCTGCTGGCTGCTCAGCAGAGTCTGGACCAGCTGCTGGATGACGGTGCTCTGCAGGTGGATGATGGCCAGGTGTAAGGGCCTGACAGGAAGCAGACCAGGATTGATGACCAGATCAAGAACTTTTCTGTTTTATGTTTTTGAAGCTACAGCTCCTGATGTCTCTTCTCTGGCAGAACCTGAACAGAACTGGACCCAGATCAGGAGTTTAACTGGACTCACGTGTCTCCGTTGGCATCCTGGATTCCACACAGATGTCTCTGCAGGGCAAGGAGGACACGGGCGTCTCCAGTGCTGCAGTACTGCAGCAGGGCGGCGGCAGTCTGTCGGGCGCTCTGAGACACATGGCTGCCGAGTGTCGCAGCTGAAAAACAACAATAAATATTTGAGAACTTCCACAAACAAAAACATTTATTCTATACTCGCAGCATCGTACCGAGCTGAAGCAGCTGCTGCTGCAGTGGCAAGCTTGTTTGTCCACTCCTCTGCTGGGCGACACCTGTCTGAGGGGCGGAGCCTGACATCTGAGATCCTCCCGCTGAAGTAAAACCTGTGTAGCTTCCTGCATAAAAGGCTCCGCCTCCACCTCCTGTACCTCCGTTCATCTGTTGGTGGAACTGGAAACCTGCAGAGACACAAGAACCATGTGTGGTACATGTGGTGGAACGAAATTGTGTACACAGCGTCCCAGTTACATCCAACAAAATTATTAAAATGCAAAAGAAAAACAGTAATAAGATCTAAGATATGAACTAAGACAAACTTTAACTAAAAATACACTAAGCACTAATAGCATAAAAACAATACACCAAACAGCAGCACGAACATGAGTCTGTGTGAGCAGATGAGCACGAATGAACACAGCAACATGAAACAAATCAGCAATGTCAATGTCAATGTCAATGTCAATTTATTTATATAGCACATAAAAACAACAAAAGCTGACCAAAGAGCTTTACAGTTAAGACAGATTAAAAAATTTAAAAAAAGAGTAAAAATGCATCTAGTGCCACTCAAAAACATAAGTTGACAATAAAAACAACACATAACAACAATAAAATCAGCTCAACTTGTTCTCAGACTCTGCATGGATGAAATGCCAAGGAATACAGATGAGTCTTGAGCAAAGATGTAAAAGGCTCATCAGTCTGAGCGGTCTTTAAATTCTCAGGTAAACTGTTCCACAGTTTTGGAGCAGCAACTGCAAAAGCCCGATCACCTCTGGATTTCAGTTTGGATCTGGGGACATCTAAGAGGAACTGGTTGGTAGACCGGAGTGCTCTTACTGGAGTGTAGATGTTAATGAGATCACATAAATATGACGGGGCCAGACCTTTTAAGACTTTAAAAACAAGCAATAAAATCTTAAAATCAATTCGGAAGTGGACAGGAAGCCAGTGGAGAGAAGCCAGGACAGGGGTTATGTGTTCATGTTTTTTAGTTGCTGTAAAAAGATGAGCTGCTGCGTTCTGGACAGATTGTAAACAATGCAAAGATGATTTGTCTAAACCAACATACAATGAATTACAGTAGTCCAAACGAGATGTAATAAAAGTGTGAATCACCTTTTCAAGGTCTCTGAAAGGGAGACAAGACTTCACCTTGGCAATGAGTCTTAGCTGGAAGAAACTGGATTTCACAACTGTATTTATCTGTTTATCAAATTTAAAAGCACTATCAAAAATAACTCCCAGATTCCTGACATTGGAGTGGCTGTATGAAGCCAAGGGGCCAAGCACATTAAGGGTATTACATTTACCAAAGCTGATGACTTCCGTTTTATTTTCATTTAGATTCAGAAAATTTAGTTTTAACCAGACTTTAATGTCATTTAGACAGTTCAAGAGTGGATCCATTGAAGTGACCCTGTCTGACTCAATCGGAAGATATAACTGAGTATCATCAGCAAAGCAGTGAAAAGGGATGTTGTGTTTTTTAAAAATGGACCCCAAAGGCAACATGTAAAAATTAAAAAGCAATGGACCTAAAATAGACCCTTGAGGGACCCCACAGATCAGAGGAGCTGGAGATGAAGAACATTTTCCTAAATGAACAGAAAAACTCCTGTCAGTCAGGTAGAATCTAAACCAGGATAGAACTGTGCCTTTGATACCGACCACCTGCTCCAGTCGTGACAACAAGATGTTGTGGTCCACAGTATCAAAGGCAGCAGAAAGGTCTAAAAGCACTAAAACAGCAGAGCTTCCTGCATCAACAGTTAAAAGAAGGTCATTAAAAACTCTTAAAAGGGCTGTCTCTGTGCTGTGGCCTGATTTAAAACCTGACTGGAATTTTTCACCAATGCTGTTGGCAGTTAAAAACCTCTTAAGTTGATTAAAAACAACTTTCTCCAAAATTTTCGACAGAAAAGGCAGTTTAGAAATAGGTCTGTAATTTAAGAGCAGTGTTGGGTCGAGGTTTTTCTTCTTTATGAGAGGCTGCACCACAGCATGTTTAAAAGTAGCTGGAACACAGCCTGATGACAGGGACATGTTAATTAGGACAAGAACTAATGGACCAAGAGTGTTAAAAATTTCTTTAAACAGGCGAGAAGGAACACAGTCCAGAGGTGAATTAGAAGGCTGCATGTGGTCCACGATGTCCTTTAAAACAACTAAAGTCACCGGCTCAAACTGTTCAAAGGAGGCTGTGGATGGAGGAAGTGAGGAGGGGTCTGTGTAAAGGTGAGTTGAAGAGGGTCTCAGAGCAGAGATTTTATCAATAAAAGACTTAGAAAATTGTTCACACAGTGCAGGAGATTCAGCAACATGAGCAGCATCACAAGGATTCACAACAGAGTTAAAAACATTAAAAAGAACCCGAGGTCTGTGACTGTTGTTTGAAACTATGTTAGATATAAAAGCAGTCTTAGCAGCTTTAACAGCTCTCTGATAATTTATCAAGCTGTCTTTAAAGATGTCCGGGGAAACCTGCAGTCTGTCTTTACTCCATTTCCTTTCTGCTCGTCTGCACTGGCGTCTGAGCGCGCGGGTGGATTCGCACAGCCACGGCTGACATGACTTCCTCTTTTTGGTTTTTAGAGGAGCAACAGAGTTCAGAATGTCAGTGCACACAGAACTAAAAAGATCAGTAAGCTCGTCCACGTTGGACACAGAGCAGAACTGAGGGTTGCAGGAGGTTCGTGCAGCAGCACGAACATGAGTCTGTGTGAGCAGATGAGCACGAATGAACACAACAACATGAAACAGATCAGCAGCAACATGAAACAAATCAGCAGCAACATGATGTGATTTTTCACAGTGATTATTCTGGTTAGAGATTCATGAGTCTAACAGCCTCAGGGTAGAAGCTGTTCCTCAGGCTAGTGGTTCTACACTTAATGCTCCTTAATCTCCTTCCTGAGGGGAGCGGGGCAAAAAGTGTGTGTGCTGGGTGAGTGGGGTTCTTCATGATGCAGGTGGCCCTCTGAATATTCTGAAATTTCTGATTCCTGAATATTCCTGATATCGCCTGAATATTTATAATATTTCCTGAATATTCCTAATATCGCCTGATATGTCATTATTATTCCCAACAACCTGTGATGGACTTGCAACCCATCCAGGGTGTACCCAGACCCTCGCACAGTGATTGCTGGACATGGGCACTGGAGACCCCCGTGACCCAAAATGGAAGAAGTGGGTAAAAGATAATGGATGGATGGATATTCCCAACAATGTTTCGGATGAAGCCAGGCTCTTGTCATATTCACCTGCTTCTGCCAACGTTACATCATCCATTCCCTTTGAAACAGAACTACACTCAGGTTTTACAATAAAAACTTCTTGTTCTGCTGCTGAAGCGGGTATCTCAGGATTTTTGTGTGAATAAAACCCAACAACCCGTGACTGATTCTGTAACAGGCTTCTGAACCATTTAATTTCACAGAACTCAACCTTCTGACCCAGAGACTTCAAGGATGTCATGAAAATCCAGAGCAAATACTTCTCTACGCTGATGATACTGTGATTTATACTGAAGCCTGAATCCTCCTGCAGGAAAGTTTTCTCTCTGCTTCTCAGATCAAATTGAAACAACTCTTAAATAAAGATCATATTTGTGACTTTCAAATATACTTGACTTGGAGAAAGCAGCAGAGTGATTTCAGCTCCAGACATAAAATTATTTAAACTTCTATTTAACCTCAAGTTCATGTTGAACATTATCTGGTCGTACAGGTTTAACTGGTTTAATAGAGTCTGTTTCTGTGGGAAAATTCCCTTTATCCATGATCCATACCTCCAGCTCCTCCTCCTCCTCCAGCAGCTCCTCCAAATCCCCCAGCTCCTCCTCCTCTTCCTCCTGCTCCTCTCCAGGACTCGTAGTGAGGCAGCAGCTTCTGCTTCTTCCTCAGCACCTCCTCTTTGTCTGAAATAGAGCAGGAGGACATGGAAACATCAGATCCTGCAGCAACTGTTTCCACTGAGGTAAAACCCTGAACCTCCTCTTCCTCCTTCGCCTGTGGGTGTCAAAGCCTCACCTTGAACCTGAGGAATGTAGGTGAACTGTTTCGGGTCGCTGCTGTCACCAGCCTTCTTCCTCCTGAGCTGCAAGAACACGGTGACGGGTCGCTCGATCTCGGTGCTGTGATAGGCTGGTGTTTTGAACACGATGGCGTACTGAGGAGGATCAGGAAAAATGAGGTCATAACACTTCCTGTTCTGCATCTTTAAAATCCACAACACATGATGCTGCTGACTCCTGAAGTTACTTGATCATTTTTGGATGATGACAAAATGGGCTGCATGTGCCTCTTACTAAAAGATAACTCTTAAAAATCTTTGATGTTTGGTTTTACACAGTTTAAAAACATATGTAAAGAAGAGTTATTACATGTAACAGTGTGACATTTATACTTTACAAAATTCTAAAATACATGTTTACATGTATTCCATATATACAGTATTTACATTCAATATAACCTTGATTTATACAGATAGTCTCATTGAGCCTCGAGGACTCATTTACAAGAGAGACCTGTTTTAAACAAAGAACACAGATGACAACACTAGACGATCATAAAAAGCATATAAAATGAAAAGTCAATGGAAGAAATGATATCACAATATATATATATATATATATATATATATATATATATATATATATATATATATATATATATATATGAGATCTGAAGCTCTCAACCTTGACCTCTCTAAGTGACTTCAAACATGTGTAAAGTTCCTGGCAAAAACCAAAGCAGACATGTTCCTGTTTTTAGTTTCCTACACCACCTTATAATCTAGCTGTTTTTTTGCTACTTTTTCCTTTTGATTGTCCTTTTGTCTGCCATTTTATTTTAATTTGTAAAATAAATAAATAAATACATTTGTATGTCTCTTTTATGATTGTCTAATGTTATCATTGTTGTCCATTGTTGTCATCAGTCTTCGTTAAAGAAATCAGGTCTCTTATGTAAATGAGTACTGAGGCTCAATGGGATTAACCTGTATAAATAAAGGTTGAATGAATGAATGAATGAATATATATCTACATATATATATATATATATATATATATATATATATATAGATAGAGAGATATATATATAGATAGATAGATAGATAGATAGATAGATAGATAGATAGATATACATAAGTGCTTTAAACCCTTTCCACACTCTTGCAATATTCTAAACAATGTTTCTAAACTCTAAACACTAAAAGAGCACAGAATGTCATTTCAGCTCTCTACCTCCGGCTGCTCTCAGCCACCTGCATGCGCTTTTGGGCACGCCCACTTCTACGCTGCAGAGCGGAGATATGAGGAGGGTGCTTTTCCTGCAGCTCTGGGCTGCACACAGACCTGTGCACCTGCAGGTGCTAAATAATTAAAAATAATTTATTTTAAATAAAAATTCCATGCCGTTCGTGCGGCTCATCCATCAGTCAGCCAATTGTTTGTCATGTCCACTCTTTGAAAATCCGCGAGCGAGTCCGCGCAAAATGAGCTGCGAAGTAGTGAGGGACTGCTGTGTATATAAATATATATATATATATATATATATAAATATATATATATATATATATATATATATATATATATACACACACATCGAAAGAGAAGCATAATTCAAAACATCTATAGATGTCTCGTTAGATGTCGGTGTCTCTCATTAGTGACTTTTGTTTCAAATCTCTCTCCAGTCTGAGCGACATTTCTCTACAGCATTTTACCACTCAGCCCCAGGTGTTTTATATTTGTTTACTTATTGTTATGTCAGACTGTTGAAACTTCACATCTCCATTTTCTGCTCTGTGGAGGTTTTCAGTGACAGACTTCCTGTGAAGCAGACCTTGAGGCTCTGAAACATCTCAGTTTTTAAACTTGGATGCTTAATATAAATGTTTGCAGAAAGGTTAAAGGAATTCCCCGGGAGCTGCAGAAGATTTATTTCCTCCATGAGTCACTGCTGTGGCTCGTGCTACGGCTGTAATCAACCTCTAACCTGTTTGTGAACATCGGTGGGTGAGAAGTCCCCGTACGCCTCCCAGCCTCCCTCGTCGTCCTCCTCATAGAAACGAATCTCGATGTCATCTGAGGAGCACAGCACAAATGCATGCTGGGACATTACAGACAAAATAAACATCTTTCTGAACTTTAAGAGGACCTCTGATAGCTGTGTAAAAAAAAACAGCTGACCTTTCTGAACTTTGTCACAGAGCAGGAAAATCTCATCTCCTCCAAGAACCGAGCCACAGGTCTTGTCCATGCGGGAGATCTTCAGGTTGGAGGCATTGGGTGACTCTGCAGAGGAAACAGGGAGGGTAACCGGTTACCTGAACGTTTGTATAGTCATCAGCTAACAGTCAGAGGGAACCTGTTCAGGTGGGACGAAAACCTGAGAATGAGCCGAGTATCATCCTAAGACTGAAAGGTGTGGAGCTTCAAGCAGTGTGCTGAACTCACGTGCAAATCTTTACAGGTTTAGTCTGTTAAAAGCTCTGACAGAAAATGTTTAATCACCTAAATTAATTTGAGGGAAAAGTAATTTTACATTTTACTTGTTTTTATATTCTCTGATTTAGCATCTATCCATTTTCTACCCCTTATCCGTGGTCGGGTCATGGACGTCCAGGAGAGAAACCCAGACCTCCCTCTCCCTAGTGCCACTCTCCAGCTCCTCCTGGAGAACCCCAAGGTGTTCCCAAGCCAGAGAAAATCAAAAAGTCTTCCAGCAAGTTCTGGGTCTGACCTGGGGTCTGCCCAGAAAACTTACAAAGTGAGGCGTCCTGATCAGATGAACCTCCTCAGCTGACTCCTTTAGATGTGGAGAAGCAGCAGCTCCCTCCAGATGATGGAGCTCCTCATCCGAGCCCCTCTACCTTGAGAAGGATGCTCATTTCAGCTGCTTGGATCCAGCATCTGGTTCTTTCAACCATGATTCATACCTGTTCATAAATGATGATGGAACGTAGACAGACCAGTAAATGGAGAGCTTTGATTTTTCTTCACCACTACTGACCAAAGCAACGCCCTCATTAATGAGGACGAGGCCCTGATCCGTTGATTTGTCTCCCATTTCATGCAATCATTACTCGTGGACAAGTGTCCCAGACACCTGAGCTTCTCCACCTGAGGCAAAGACTCCTCCCATCCATCTCAGGTTGAGAACTGTGGCTCTGCCGACTCATTGTTGAAGATTTCAAAGACAGGGGGCTTTGTTACTCCCAGTTCATCTTTACTATTTGTTTGGGTTTACCAGTTCTGTGTGACAGCCCCCCCCGTCACCTCATCCAACTCACCACCAGGTCGTGATCAGCTGACAGCTTCATTCTTCTCTTTACCTGAGTGTCTAAGACAAAAGACCGCCGGTGTGATGACAAAGTCCATCAACGACCTTTGGCCTAAGGTGACCTGGTACCAAGTACACTGGAACATGGTATTTGTTATGGACAACTCATGCCTCACACACAAGTCCAAAAACAAAACGCCATTTGGGTTCAGATCAAGGAGACCATTTCTCCCAATCACCCCCTTCCAGATACCTGTCCACATGAGCACTAAAAAGACCGTAACAACAGAACCCCCAGATGGATCCACTGGACACCGTCCAGAGACTCCAGCAAGACCAGGTAATCTGAACTGAAGTTTGGTGCATACGTACAAACTGAACCTTCCCTCCTGCAGCCCCAAGCTGCAAGCTGCAGAGAGCAAACTCTCTCATCCACCAGGTCAAACTCCAACACTGAGGCATTCAGCCGGGGGCTTGTGAGTATCGCCACACCCGCCCAACACCTCCCTCCCCGGGCAACTCCAGAGTAGGACAGAGTCCAGTCTCAGTTGTTCCAGAGGCCAAGCTCAGCACAGAGCCATAGTTGGTTGATGTAGCTTAGTCTCACAAGCTCCGACTCTTTACCCACCAGTAAGCTGACAGTCCACGTCCCTGCAGCTGGTTTATGCCACCAGGAAGCGGCATGACCAGAGAGCCCCTCACCTGCCACCTGGCTCACATAACATTTACCTTTGATGGTGCAGGTGGAGGGACACATGAAGGTGGCCAGCCAAGCTCTCCCCCAGACCTGGTTGCAGGGGTCTGGTTGTTGTTGTTTTGTTTTTTATCTAGTCCAGTTTTAGTTTTATTGTTTTAGGAGTTTGTTTTTCAGTACTTTGTGTGTATTAAGAGTATTTGATAAAATGCAGTTCATTAAATTCAAAGATTTCATGTGGGGCTGAGAAATAAAATCCTGTTGGATTTGAGACAAGCTTGAAGCTAAAAGTTTCAATAAAAACACCTTAAATTGTCTTTTTGTCTGAATGATTCTGACGACCTCTCTGATTCTTTATCAGTCTGTCTTTTAAATCTCATGGGAAACACCTAATCTCCAAATTAAGGGTGAAGTTCGGGTTCTTCTTTAGAAACAAATCATGTTTCTCCCTTAGAGCAAGGAAGCTTTTGATCATGGCTACTTTTTGCCAGTACTTGACTATTGTGATGCTGTTTATATGTGCACTTGTAGCTACATTACTCATCACTGTGATCTCTATCTTAAAACCAGTATGTCTTCCCTTTTTAACAGGCGACATGTGCATTGGATGACTTTGGTGTACACGTCTCTTATTAACCTGCTTCCACATTACTTATGTACTTTTATACGAAGAACGACAGTAGTTATGCCTCACGCTCTAAGGACAGTTTGCATCTTCATGTTCCTCGTGTGCGAACAGAAAAGGGCAAGAAAGCTTTTAGTTTTTCTGCCCCCTCAGCTTGGAATGCCCTGCAAGCTGAATTAAAACGGACAGAACTTGTTACTTTGAGTGCTTTTTGCAAACTTAAAAAAAACGACAAAGGATATCTTGTCAACAGTGCCTGTGTTTTAGATCTTAAATTGTTATTGTTTCAAATAATTATTGCCATTTACTGTTATACTGTATGTTTTATATTTTTATATATTTCTGAAGTCTTCATAATCTTGCTACTTGTTTTGTTTTTTATGACGTGTGCTGCTGCCTGTTCTTGGCCAGGTCTCCCTTGTGAAAGATGTCTTGATCTCAATGGGTTTTTATCTGGTTAAATAAAGGTGTAACAAAAATAGAATTGTTGCACTCACTGCTGTCGTAGATGGGGTTGGACACGACTGGTTTCAGGGCTCTGGTGAAGCCGCCGTTGCTGTCCTGCAGGTATGCAGTGAACCTGAGCCGGACGATGTTCAGGTCCATGGTCTTCCCCAGCTCCTTGGCCTCCTTCAGAATGGACATTTCTTCAGTGTCTGCAGAAAAACATTTGATCAAAATTTTTCTCTCAGTGATGTTTTTTTAATCATGTCTGAGGTTTTCTCTGCTCATCTGATAAAAACCTGTTTTTTAACCTCATCTGTGATTTTGACCAGAAAACTAAACGCTCCTCTGAGCAGCAGTCACACGTGCACTGCTCCCAACAAACCACCGGAAAAGAAACACTTTAAAATATTTTAGCTGCTGAGATTATATTCTATAGAAATTACATGCAGTCTTTGTTGAGACTAATACTAACAGAAACAATATTTATTCCTATTTATTGTTTACGTGAAACCATTTCATACATTTTCTTAAATTTTCCCAGCTTAGTAGTTTGACACATTGTTTCAACAACTCAAATTCTCTAGTTTGTGAGTTCAGGTGTGTGTGTGTGTGTGTGTGTGTGCGTGTGTGTGTGTGTGTACCTGACAGGTGATACTGGGTTCCTCTCTGTCTCTTTCGCTCGTCTCTCAACCTTCTGGTCAGAACCTCAGCGACACCTTTCTTGGTCACATGGAGGATTCCCAGGTTACTGAACCTACAGGAAGTGACATCACGGGTCATGACATCACCTCTGAACATGGAACCTCCATGTACTCAGATAAGACCTGATCAAAACAGCAGATCCTGATGGTCGTCATGAAACTAGTTTCTGAATCACTTCAGTTCATGACGGGTTTAAAATGTAGAAAATAAATCACAAAAACTTTGTTTAAACGGCAGGTCGAACAAACAAAGATTAATTTTGTTTCTTTTTGGATGGATTTCTGCCTCTCAGGTTCCTAAATGTAAAACAGTTTGATGAGTCAAAAGAATTCAACGTTAATAAAGACTGAGGCTTTCTGTCCTTTAAACGTCCTGAAACAGACAGAATAAACTTCCTGCTGCAGGAGGAGAGAGAGGTTTTTGTTGTTTAAAAAAAAAAGATGAAATGTGACTTCATCTAAACGTTCCCTAGTTTTATATTAATTTCAGTTAGTCAAATGACAGGAATCAAGTCATTACATTCTGTCATAATGAAAGTGCCGTAAGTTTGAAGAAATCACGTTGATTCCAGTCACTTCTGCCTCCGTCATCAGACTCCTACACGACGGCTGTTTTTATAAAACTTCAGTTTCCTTTGATCAAATCTGTGCCTCCTGGACGGCTTCAGAATCAAAAAATAACATTCTGACTTCCTTTTTGGAGTTTCTGTGTTTTCCAAGACCATAATAATAATAATAACAACAACAACAACAACAACAACAACAACAACAACAACAACAACAACAACAATAATAACATGGTTTATCCAGGTGATTGAATACTGACGAGGCGGTGAGGTCATTGGGGCCAATGTCCATTGTACAGGTGCCGTTCTCATTGCAGTGGCGTCCCACCAGGCTGTGTGCATGGACTCGGGCCGGGTCGGTGTGGGTCACCAGCTGCACCTCCACCTGGGCGTGGCCCACATAGTTATTAACCTGAGACACAAACAGATGAACGGATCAAATGGGAGGTTGTTCCTTAACATCAAGCGCTTGTCTCTGGTGGGGACATTCTGTCACGCCTACCTTCACGGTTGGGTAGGTTCTCCGGTTCTTCTCACTGGAGGCCCCCGGGAGTCCACCGTGTGAGGGACCCTCGCACTCATAACGGAAACGGAAACCCCTCTGCAGGAAGACAGTTGTAAATACAGCTGCTGGAAAACATCTGTTCTGAACATCACTACCAATCGCCTAAAAGTCCTGATCCTGATCAGGTCCTCGTCTTGTTTCACTTTCCCTCCAGTCAACCTGACCGTCTTTTAAAAGTGGTCTGAATGAACAGTTCTCCTGACTTTCATGGTTTGTCTTTTCGCTCACAGAAAAGCAGAAAGTGAGAGCGTGCAGCAGGCGTTCAGGTGCGTCATGCAGCGTTCAGCAGCAGAAACTTCCTGTTTGATCAGCATGTTGATAAATGACTGCTTGGAAAACCCTGGAGAACAGGAAATGAGTGATGAGCCACACGTGGACGGACCTGCTGCTGAGGGGAATCACCGCAATCATCTGAGCGTCTTTTTATACGACTTGATTTGGCAACCGTTTCTTCTCTTGTGATACCAAGACAACGTACAAATACACCCGACTATATTGTATGGTTTTGTGATTTATTTTAAATTTGTGATTTATTTTAAGCCTTCTGTACAGGTAAAAGTATGAACATTTAGAGGTCTCACGGGAAAGAAAAAACCTAAAAACTCACTTTTAATATAAGATCACATTTAAAACAATGAGTATGACTTACACACATTTACACACATTTACATTTAAAATTATAAAAAATAAATACATAAAGTAATCTGCTGTTGTTTAATGACTGCTGAGGCTGAAATTTTAATAATTTTTATTCACATAGAGAAAACTCTAATTTAACCCTTTTTATTCTGCTGTTGAGTTTTACTGCATCTAACATGATCTTTGTATTTGTCTTGTCTTTTATTATTCTTTGTCATGGTTAAGTTGTTCTTATATTCAGTTAAAATAATGTCAAAAATAAAATAAGCCCTGTTCGATTTATTATTCTACACTGAGTTTAATGTGAAGAACTTCAGGTTCATCTTCATCCCGTTCTTTATGTCTTGTGTTATTATTTGGTCTTAAACTAAATGTTGAGGGTTTGTTGGATGATCACAACGACAGGAAGTCAAGCATTTGTCTCACCTGTTTGGGCTCTTCGATGATCTGGATATATGGACCGTGAGCTGAAACACAACCACATGTGAAGTCAGCACCAGACACACGAAACAGTGATAAACTCTTTCTGGAGTCATTTTAGGAAGTTTTAGGTTCAGTAAAGAGGTGCACAGGTCGTTTCCCTCCGAGTAAAGTCTAGAAAGTGTAGCTCTGTGTTCGCAGGTGATGCTTGGGTTGTGGACTGACTCACTTTCTGGTAACCAGTTTGGTGATGCGAGGAGGCTTTAGAAATCTTTGGCGTTTGTAAAGTGTTTGGAACATCTGGGTGATCACCTGCAAACATGTGACTTTGTAAAGCACAAAAAGTATCGGGACGTTGCAGGCAGATCTAGGTGCTGACCACTGTGAGCTGCCACGTCCTTCAGGTACATCAAAGGAAGATATATGAGCTAAAAATGATCTGAAATCTAACAAGAAGAGAACAAACTCTGATGTAGAACAACTGAAGAACTCGAGAAATACTTCAAATCAAAGCATTCTACAAAAATCCATTTAATGCTCTATGTGTTAACAGGATCATTTCCAACTGACTGCAGGTCCCGTTTACACCAACACACCAATGATGGCTGGTTCTGAGAAGATCTTCAGGTACAGGTCCAAAAGATTATACTTGAGAAACTAGCATTTAAAATTTGATGTTCTTTGTTGTTCTACCAAACCCTGACCCCAAAGAACCGAAACCTGACCCTCAAGCCAAAGAACTGAACCCTGACCCTCAAACCAAAGTACTGAACCCTGACCCTCAAACCAAAGAACTGAACCCTGACCCTCATACCAAAGAACTGAACCCTGATCCTCTTTCCAAAGTACTGAACCCTGATCCTCTTTCCAAAGTACTGAACCCTGACCCTCCAAAGAACTGAACCCTGACCCTCATACCAAAGTACTGAACCCTGATCCTCTTACCAAGGTACTGAACCCTGCCCAGTAAACATTAGACGTTGAATTCAACGGTCAATTCATCTCACAAAACCCTCGGAGCATGTGGAGGGGCATTAAGTGCATAACAGATTATAAA